CTGATTAATATGGCATTGAAAGGGCAGACCATATGCTCGATTTTGTTTGTTCTATTGTCACCTTGCCTCGTTTCGTGCATGAGTTCGGCGCTGCTCCGCTAGGAGAGGCCATCTGGCTTTTTCGCTAGTTCTTTTTGTTGGTTTATGTCGAATACAAGGTCTTACTCTGGTTAGATCTGTAAACTTCTGTGAAGCTGTGAAATTGTGCGGGAGTCACTTTGGTCAGAGAAATTTAAAGTTCTTCACAAGATGTTCTTTACTAGCTTGGCTCGAGCTGAATACCACTCGACTGTGACACTTCAGTGCAATTCTTTCCGCTATCTCTTTGGCATCAGAAGTAAAGCAGCAAGAACTGTTAGATGGCCTTGTCGGATGAGAATGGACAGTTATAGGGTGAGACGAAATGGCAATGCGGCGTAGATGGTGTAGGCATTTTCTAGCAGAATGGAAAAACCCACTCTGCTCTTAGGGTAGAATTGAGTGAACAGTCGCTTTCGCTGCAGACACTGGGGTAGTGTCAGGGTGCTGAGTTTGGCGCGGGACCCGTCTGTTCATCACTAATGATTGAGGCGGGCAGGCGACATAACTGGTGATAAACGGGCTGGCACCACGCCAAACCTAGCTAGCTCCCCCACACACGCCTCATCATCTGCATCGAAATCAACTGTTCAGCCAGTCTTCTTCAAGTGCAAAAAACATTTTCCCATTCGGCTGAAAAATTCCTGTTCTATCACTCGTATAACCGACTGTTCATATCCAACAAGGCGATCTCACTTGCTGCTTCACTTCTGACGCCAACAAGACATCGACAAGTATTGCAAAGAAGTTACCGAGGAGTTGCCTGAAAGAAGCACGGTTGACTTTGTGGGGCACCGAATGGTACTCAGCTATACTTGTACGAACCATCTTGCCAAGACATTTTTAGATAATTCATCGGGATGAAGACTGAACGCATGGCATCTTCAAAGGCAGACACTATCTGCATTCATTTAACGTTCAGACGCATTCTTTGGACATGGTGATCCTGTCCGCCAGTGCACAGGACGAACATCCTCCCTGGCCCTTCCAAGTGTTTGGCTTCCCTTCTATTTTGTTCCAGTTGCGACCGGCCACCTTCTACCACATCACATAGCAGGCGGATTTGCGAAAATTTTTTTTGATTGATGGATTACCCGATTTTCCTGTTTCAGCCGCACTATATATCCCCCTACCCCCGCTCCCCCCTCACCCCACCCACCCCCGCACCGCTCGACATCAATACTTGCGTATTGCGCATCCCAGCATACCATTTAGTCTGAAGGCTCAATATTCATTTCAACTGAAAACAACGGTAAAGCTCCTTATCAAACCCCAGTCTCCCCCTCTATATCATCTGCTGGAATCAACGCCTAGCTGATACTGCGTCTCGCGTTACAAACATGGTGACCTCGCCATTCTAACTCCCTTCATCAAATGTTAACAACAGCTAGCAGTCCTTGTCAGCTACTAGTAATGTTCATGACTCCTTGGAACTAACGTCCCACCGTTCCTGTGATCCGCGCTATAGACATGGTCATCCTTCCCTTCTGACGCCCCTTATCAAATCTCATCAGCTGTCACTCCCTGTCACCCACCAATAATGTTCCCGTCACAGCCCCTATACCACTGCTTGAAATCAACTTCCCACAGCGGGTATCAATTCCACACACACGCACACATCACACACAGCACAGCACACACAACAGCACACACACACCGACAACAACACCACAGCACCACTGGTGTCATATAATGTAATATTTAGATAGATTTTTTCGGGGTATCTTATCAGCTGTTATCATATCCTGCCACAAACCAATAATAGTCCCATCCTGCACACCATCTTGCCTCTTGGAACCGACATCCCGTTGTGCTGGTCGACGTTGTGAGTTGGGTGTCACTGTCATTCTAAGGCTCCTTATAGTATCTTATCAGCTGTTATCAATTCCTGCCACCCACCAATAATGTTCCCATCCTGCCCCTATCTTACTACTTGTATCCAACGTCCGGTCGTTGCTCTGGCCGGTGTTATGAATTAGGTAACCCACTCTTTCTGAGGCTCCTTATGGTATCTTATCAGCTGTTATCAATTCCTGCCACCCACCAATAATGTTCCCATCCTGCCCCTATCTTACTTCCTGGAACCAAGGTCTCATCGTTGCTGTGGCCCGCGCTATGAATTTGGTGATCCTCCCCTTATAAGGCTGCTCGCGGTATCTTATCAGCTCTTATCAGTTCCTGCCACCCACCAATAGTGTTCCTGCACGACCCCCTACATGACTTATCAGTTTGAGCGCTCTATCACTCTTTTGAAGGAAGTTATGAATTTCCGGTCAAACACACATACACACACACACCAACAGACAAACTTAGCGGATTATATATAGTAGGGATATTCAGATAGGATTTTCAACAACTTTATTTTCGGCTCAACTGCAGTTAATGCAAAGGATCACAGAAGCCACATGACCTTGGACACACTTTCTTCTTGGTAGCCTCCGATAATGTACCCTTGCAGAAACCACTCGGTACAAGAGAAAGGCAGCTGTAAATATCTTCTGGGTAATTTTTGACGAGGAACCAGTATAATATAAGTGTCTTACGAATGGTTGTCCTCGCATTTAGAGTCCGTTCCCGTATTTATGAAAGGAACAGGTCGTTTTGTTGTTGTTGTAGTAGTGGTAGTAGTAGTGGTAGGAGTCGTAGGTCTTGGAGAACTTGCAGGAACTAAACACTTCGAATTGAACTTAGCTTTTTTAAGACAAGAAATAATTAAGCAGTACCATGTCGGTATTCAAGCACTGTTGTCGTGACAACCTGTATATTCATTATTGGAACGTTTGTATGAACAGAGTTGTTCCAGCTGCATTAGGGACACAAGCTGACTGTAGATGTCCCATCTTGGTGAGACCTCGAAATAGATTGAGCGAAGCTTCACTCAGGAGAAAGTGGTCGATAGGAAAGGGAAAAAGTGCCCTCCGATCCTCAATCCCCCCAGCCGAACTGCGCGCTTCACGCAAACCTTGGACCTTCTTCTTTTGATTCGATTGAGACCTGTCTCAATTGACACATTGTATAAGCTGGTCTGAGGCTCGAGCGTCTAATTGATAGCCCACATGATCTCCGCCCACACTATCAACGCGGAGCACGCCACTAAAGCGGTCAATGACTGCATTTGAAATTTAATGTTTACTTCTTAATCGCAAGTCCCTACTTTCTACTAAGAGTAAACTCTAGAGCTGAATGAGTAACGTACGAATAAAAGGAGCTATAATGTAGTGAAGGGGGGGGGGGGGGAAGAGACCACTTGACCGCATCCCTTCCCCAAAGCTTATTTCAGGCTTACAGCGCGACGATCACAGTAGCCGGAGGCTAGTTCCGCAGAAGACATTGCTTCCACTGAGCCCATACTTTGATGGGGGAGGGGATGCGGAGGCAGCGAGTGCTTCTCTGCCCCTCCCTCCTCCCCCCCCTCCAACTACGTCAGAGTCAAATAAAACAGACGACCTAACATTATTTTTTTCTATGTACATGTAATAGTTGCTCACCGTTACGTTTGAAATGTGGCATTAATTTCTCTGATACTTCTACACCGTGTTTCAGGAAGCCATCTAGTGTAGAACAGCAAATACAAGATAAGGGAGAAAGTAAACACAAGGAATGAATACTGGTGTATGCGATTCTGAATTCAAATGAATTCAAATGAATATTTGATTACGAACGTGGTGAACCATAAGTGAACCAAAACTGTACTCGATTTTGTTCACTAATTTTGTTTATCTATGTCCACACACTGCCGACACTTGGATATTGGCGCCAGTTATGCCACCGCGGACGCAGTTGCGTACAATGTTTTCGATTTTACGCGCAACTTCATAGGGTTTGTGAAAAATGCAGATTGGTTCCCACAGATTCCAAATGGCACATGCTCCAAGCAACGGAGCAGATGTCGCGCGATCACATCGCCGCTGACGTATCGCCAGTATACTTTCCCTGTTGATTCGGATAACTCGTCCGGTTCACTCAACTAGAAGACTTTCATGATTGACAGCCTACATAAAGTTGTGAGTGTTGGTTTCAGTGCGCATGTTTGTCAGTGGGGTAATCTGCCAATGGTTAGAGAAATGCATTAATTCAGAATTGTGGACGAGCTGCCCTACCTTCGGGACGGCCTGACACGAAATCTGTGGACAGTCGGCCTGCCAAATTGATCGCGTCAAGTGAAGTGCGATCCTTTTCGCCGCGGACGCTGCGGCGTGTCAGGGGGTTGGACCTGGCGGGAAGCCAGCCCAGTTTTTACCAATTCTTGTCGTTGCACCCTTCAACAATCGATGGAGATCATGCGGGCGCCTCGCCGAACTCAGTCTCCCTGACACGTCCCGCACCCGTAGTGAACGATGCTATACACCCTGCGAACCTTGTGATGTTCAGCGTCAAATCGGTGACAGCGTCCGTAACTAGGGTCGCGACGACATAGCGGATGCTTGAACTCAGACGTTTCTGATGGGCAAAGACCTGCAAGCAGGCAAGGATGTTTTTTTTTTACTGCGAAAGTGCTGGACAGTGTGTTACTCGTGAAACTGTGATACTAGGATACAGGCTTTTACCTCGCGTAGACCGCGACACAAGATGGGGTCAGCTGCCAAGTGCGGTGTAAATCGGCCGCTCCGTTCCAAAACATTCGTGGGGTGATAGATGTGAAAAAGAGTTATTACGCAGCGATTAAACGAGAAAAACTCACATTAATCTCTGGAAACACAAGACCAACGAGACTGCTCGTCGTCCAATTAGCAGCTGACATGTACGCGTTACCATTTGCTCGTGCATTTTGTTAAGAAAAGTTCAGCGATGCCAGTAAGCCAATTGATATAGCCGCTGTAAATCTCGATATAGTCATATAGAATGGAGGGGGAGCGGACGGAACGACGGAAAAACGTCGGCCAGAGGGTGCTAGGAGTGGTGGTAACGATAGAACTTTCAACGAGTAGAAAGAGCTGTGTCCACAAGTAAAAGGCCACTTTGGCCCGACAATTGGAGCTCGCCTAATTTTTACCAAAGGGCACTGTAATGATGGGAAAACCAGTCGAAAAGCGAAAACGGTAAAATCCTGTGAAGGAAAAGACCTTAGCACGTTTCTTTATGACTTCAAAAAAGGCAATTCCGGAGAGATTTTCCCCGTCAGCATCTTGCCAATGACCACTACGGTAGATACTACCATGAACTAAATCAATTATATCCATGGCAGGCACGCAACTCGCTTCCTACCAAATCCTTCGCTATTTTCTTCGCAATGAAGCAGTAGCGTCAGGCAAAGGTCGTCCATTTGTGGGCGAGTACGTGGCCACGCGTTTCGCGTCGGTATCAACTGTACTTTGATTTTGGGCCCCTTATAAGGGTACATTCCTTAGGCAAAGGAGCGCTCTATGCCAGCGCCTCTGCTCAATGGTCGCGAAAGTTCTGTCCTGTAGGCAGCATTAATGCTCACTCATTTAGGGCGACCTTAATCGTGCAACTCGGGATGCCTCAAAGGGAAAATACACACCTTGATGTCGCATACGAAACCAAGCTGGGATCCACGTTACCACAGAGGAGCGTGGACTGAGTCTTTGCCCGGCAGCGTTTGCACCCTTGGTATCGAAGTTCCCATCCTTGGATCATATCCTATGACGGGAACGTAGTTGGTAGAGCGAAGGGTGCAGGCTCACTCCGCACCTTTTGAATACCGCCACGAACGACGGGTCACACATACCGTTAAGACCCTACATGAGTAATTCCGCAAAACCTAAGGAGGAATTCGATGCCACATGTGGCGCCGTCAGTTCGGCCAAAATTCGATAAAAGCATAAGTAAAATAGCAGACAATAGACCGCAACAGCAAGGGCAACGAATTATCAGGGACAGGAAAAAAGAAAAATCTAGCAATACTGGTCAGGTAAGGCGGCCACCCATTCGAAGCCTCTCCCAATCGCGTAATAGGCGGATAAAACACATTTCGCAAAATGGAGCACGGCGTATTAAAGGGAGAATGGGGAGATTCAAAGCAGTTGATGTATTTTACCTGGTGCATACCATAACGCCCCAGGGGATGAAAAAGAGAAGGGGTAAGGGCATACTAGAAAAAAGGCAGGCGATTTTAGGGAAGTCAAATTATCAACCTCTAAAAAGAGCCAAATCTGGTGCAAAACTCCCGGGACGACTTTGCAGGATAACCTGCAGGACAACTTAGGACAACCTACAACCATGGTAAGTGCAAACGATAGGGGGTATGAAGGGGATTGGAATGCCTCCAAGACGGCCTCTCCATCAATGATACTATCGAGTCGGATCATTGGCAGGAGAGGAATGCCTAACTGCAGTCACGACGCCGAGACGCCCCTTCACACGCTACGTCAGCCCCTAAGTCATATTGGCAGTGATCACGAACTCTAAGCCATAATTTAGCCCCTTGCAAAATGCCAAAGTCTCAACCGTCCAAGAGAGAGCAAATGGAGAAGACGAAAACATCAGCCGACAGGCAAGGCGCCATAACTTCGCAAGCGTGTTCTCCTTTGAATGTGACTGCCACCGTCAACATCGCTGTTGACGCAATCATACCAACAGTACCGATCGTGAGCAATTGGATTCGGCCAGATTTTGGATGATCAATCTGAAATGAAACAAGTAGTTTGTTGTCTTCAAAGCGCTTGGAGTTTTGTCAGCGGCTTCAGAGGAACTAAGTTTTGTCGAAGGCGAACACGCACCCTTGAATCTCACTTCCCTACCCCCGCCCTCCTATCTGCATTTTCAGGTGAGGCAAAATGATATGAACGTGGTTTCCCAGCGGCAGAGCGTCGGGACCATTTCAGAATCTAATTGGAAATACATGAACTAAGAAAAGAAAAGCTAGAAAAGGGGAAATGTAAACCACATACGTAATACATTTGTATGAACGTTGTTAGGAGGTTCACTGTGCCCACACCAATTGTGGCGAAGATGGCAGCTTCACCGCTCAGACCGACTTCCTCGAATATCATTGTCGAGTAAAAACATAACAGCAGTTAACACGCTTAAAAATATACTGGTCAGTCAGCTGAAGTGATTGAACTTGTACGGTTGGGAATGTCACAGTCCAGTAGGGCGGTGTCAGGAGGCTTAGCACGTCGCTTTCTACTACTGCCTCTGCTTTCTACCTTAAAGGTCAGACTGTCCCCTCTTTGCTAGCGGGTGAGCAGAGGGAGGTTGGTGGAGCCATTTTGCTTGTCCATGCCTCCGCGGACTCACCGCCCTACCGGTTGCAACAATGATGATTTCACCAGTCGGATCGCCCGCTAACGCCGAGCTCTCCTCCTTCTTGGAAGCCCGGCTTCGCCGGGCTCATGCAACTGCTTTAGAGTCGTGAACGAATTTAGCTGTCTTCCAATAAAATGAATGTAGAAACGCGCCATATGATCGCAGGGCACTTTCATAATGAAAAGTTCAAAATCTGGTCATGGATAATCGATTACTCTCCCATGCGTTCATGACAGCCATGGATGCTTCGGTCTCCGCAGTCGCTGCGTGCTCCTGTTCAGGCGAGCGTCGATCGCGCCAATATGGTACCCCTTCACCCCAAACTAACCTCAGCTATTCCCCGCTCAGCCACCCTACAGGTCACGCTCAGCTGCTACGCCGTAATAAGCCGCGTGCGAATGGATTCCGAGTGGGCACTAAATTGTTTGTGTGTATGGTGTGGGGGGTGTCTATTGACTATCAAAACGCTACCACAATTTGATAATGCAACATTAATCGGTTCAGTTCCGATTGCGGTCGATCCATTTTCTTCCCATCTTATCGCAACCGTAGACGCCTTACCGCCGCAGGCGCTATGTGCTCCTAATCGCGAAATCGCCGTTCTCATCTGGTATCCCCCTCACCCACATCATATCCCAGCTGACCCTATTTAACTGGCGCCCACTCCCGCACGTGGATGCAGCCGCCACGTGAGCAGCTGGTGCAACATAGGGACACTACGCCGCCACTGTTCTTACCACCGCCTTGCTCGTGCTCACGTCCAGCTCCCAAGCGAGCAGCTCCTGCAATAGCACAGAGTCTATCACAGTGGTTGGCTTAGATAGGGGAGCTATTCACAATCCAAACAGCTTCCAAACAGCTTCCTAGTTCGTTGCTGTAACATGGATTAGCTTGCAGTTTTGCTAGGGGTTCTTTCCTTCTGTCTTGCCGCCTGCTCCTATCCAAGCGTACGCTACGCAGATTCCTTACGTGGTAGGCCCAGTTTGCCAGATTTAATCGCATGATGCGTCGCTCTGCATCGGCTTCAGATCCAACTGAGTACCGCGCGAAGAGCTGAGGATGGGAGGAGGGGGATACAACTCGATACTAACTCCCGACCTTCCTCAGTTAACCCATCCGTACTCACGCCCACTGACACCCCCAACCCCCCCCACACTCCCTCCACGCTGCCCGTTGCCAAGCGACTTAACGTCCAACTGGCCACGCGGCACGCCGCGTGCAATGGCTTATCGGGTGTAGTGGTTTTCTTATATACGTGGGAGAGTGTTATCACAGTCCCAAAAAATCGGGCTTAGTTCGTTACGGTAACATAGATTGGCTTACAGTTTTGTTAGCGGTTGTTTCCTCATCCATTGGTGTGCGTTTCTACTGAAACGCGCGCTACGCACCCCTCACTGTACCCCCTCCCCGCGACCCTCCCCTCTGCCTCCCTCCATACATGTGCTCAGCTCCGGCTGAGCACATGCAGGAGAAGGAGGCAGGGCGACCTGGCACCCCCACCCTGCCCCCGCACGAGCACACGTCCAGCTGCCACGGCAGCAGCTCGTGCAATGGCTCGGAGTGTACCGAGTGGTTGTCTTATATATGCTGTTATCACAATCAAAACATTGGATTGATACATCTGCACCGATGGGTTTCCCGGTTTGGCTAGCGGTCGTTTCCCTCTTTCACTAACGTGTTGAGTGCCGTAAAAGCACTTTGAAGGACGGCGACAGACATACAAACCGACATACATACATACATACCTACATACCGAAAAACCGACAAACAAAGTTTCTGCTTTATAGAATGTAAGGATAGTGTGTGCACAATGCCGTCTTGACGCTGCCTGGCTTGGGTAAGGGACATTCCGCACTTTCATTAGTTTCGCTTCCGTTAGTTTCCTTTTGACTTAATAAACGTCTCAACGCTTAATAAGACGCTTGTGAAGCTGCTTGATCGCGCTGTCGGATCCGGCTTTGCGCCAAAGTGCTTACAGTAGTATCGAGATTCATTTTTTTTTGCTCCTCCGGTACTGTTCCCCGTCACGTCCCTCGACCGTGCCGTCGGCTAACTAGCGTGGTCTATCTTCTGCACTTCAAATCAAATTTCCTTCGTTGTCAACTTTTCGTCAGAGCGAGTGTACTGTGTTTTCAACACTTCATTTTTCTTCGCTACCCTTTAATGCATATGGGTACAGGGAAGGGTTGAGGATGAGGTTTACCAGATATGCGGGCCTGTGCTTTGGCTCTTTCTACGGGAAGAAGCGGCGGCGGGCGATGAGTTTTAGTCGGCGAACGGGGAGTGAACGGGAGCCGCAATTCTCGCGGATACCCCACCCCACCGCTTAAGTATTTTTATTTTTATTTTATTTTAATTTTTTTTTAATTTATTAGCGGTGTCACAAAAGTTCGTCTGGCCATTCCTTTTATTCGAGAGTTCTGATTTGGCACTTTGGTATGGGCCTTAAGCAAATCACCAAAGGTGTGGAATGCCTTTGACACATCAGTGCAGACGGCCGGCGTCGCACGTGGATATAATGCTTTCCATGCGCGCAATCGCGACGCAGTGTCTCGCTCAAAACTGATCGGGAGTAAAGGTAAACTTGTACGAGAGGTGCAAGCCTTGCCGATCTGCTCAGCCCAAGAGCTAGTGGTGTGGACCGAGCACGCTTGACTAGGCCGGGCCAGTCACTCGCATCTCAGATGACTCGCTCCTCGCAGCAGGGTCTGCTCGCTGTCAGTATTTGTGTGTGAAGTTCAGATCCTCGTTTCCTGTGCAGTAGCCAGACACGCAGTTGTGGTTTGACAATGTGGCGTACGCAATATGAGGAAGAATGAGGGTAATCGCATGGTCTAGGTCCTCTTTAGGGATTTCCCACCGGGGACACTAAATCACGGTGGATGCGTGACCGTCTGCTTCGATCCTCAGTGTCTGTCCGTGAGGCGACAAGCGGCTCGGTCCGCAGGTGATGTTTACTTCTCGTGAATTGACTGCTTTGATGAGGGGCGAGCGCGTTGTCCTCAGAGCAACCACGGTATTTTGCAGGATGTTTTATATGGACAAGGCGCACAGCATTTCACCTTTGAGGCTCTGCAATTCTTTAGAGAGCGGGCCAGCTGCCGCTCACTGTTGGCATCTGTTGGGTTAGTGATGCTGTAGTGAACGATCGCCGTAGCAAAGAGAAGCCAGAAAGCTCGGGCATATCTTGCGCATGCCATCACTGTTTCATTTGTGAAGGGAGTCCACGCAATTTTGACATTCTCTCAGCATTTCTTAGAAGGGGTGTTATCACCAAACTGCTGACGCATCCTGGTCGTGGCCTGACGTCTGGAGATGCCCAGGTTGTAGCAGTCCAGCAAACATCGGCGGTGGTGGTGACTATCAGCTCATGATTACTACTGCTTTATTGTGGGAAGAGCAGGAAAGGAAATTTCAGAGCTAGCTAGCTCAGAAGATAGCCCATCGCGAGTACTTTCAGTATTGCGAAATCATTATGCGAAATCACAACGCGTTGCGTAACGCGACGCTGTTTACAAATGGCCAACGAACTTTATGGAACCACTAATAAAATTTTATTTTTATTTTTATTTTTTAAACAGGTTTTAATTCATCATTCTACATCTGCTGTCTAGTCAATGAGCTGAACGTAGTAGTCTAGACTACGGAAAGCCACGAGTGGGCGGCGAGGGGCGGAACTGACACCGTCTTGATTTCTGGCGTTGCTGGAGTGTCAGGAAAGGGGAGGGAGAAGAAAAGGAGAGGCGGGACTGCGCATAGGGACCATAAAGGTGTCAGAGGAGGGGAGGGGAGAAGAAAAGGGGGCTCGCATGGGACCAGCCTGTTCTTCACCGAATGTGGAAGCTTACAAACGGCATCGATCGGTGGAAAATGGGCTGGCGCCGCGTTGAATTCGGCCTCTCCCTGTTTCTGCTACGATTAAGCATCCACAGCGCACAAAACTGTGGCTGCTTCCCGACTGGTTGAATCGAATTTCTCGTCGAATGGGCGCCGTCTACTGGCGCCGCCCCTTTTGCCGAGCCGCCGCAACGTGTACCTCCCAACCGACACTGCTTTCGGGCGCGAAGATGTGAATGAAGACCGAAGAGTTATCTGGGTATCATTCGATAGATGTCACATACCTGTCAATTGTTGGAAGATCATCATCACAATGACGATCATCGTCGGGTATACGAATTCTCTCCGGAACATGTCGAACATGGATGGCCGATCATACAGAGAATCATATAGTGCGACTACCTCTGCTCGCATACTATTAATTTCCACATTGATCTGAACCATCACCTTCATGACATTAAACAAAATAATCATGAACGACACAGCGGTTAATAAAAAGATGGAGAAGTGCTACAGAACATATACTCCATATCTCAGAGATGTGGGGGGCGTGGCATTCAGATGTGGTGGCGGCTGCGCTAAGTCAGGATGACGACTAGCTCGAATTGAATTACCCTGCAGATGAACCTTTCTGCGTCAAACCAACTAGGCAGCCACACCTTCAGCGACTCAGGGTGGGTAGTGTACGCTCTGTTTCCCAAAAGGAGGAGGGCGCGGCTATGTAAATCATGCCCACTGCCTAGGCTAATTATGCAGCACATCCGCTTATTAGCTGATATGCAAATAAGGGAGGCCAAGAAAAAACATTTTGGCCGAGGTCGTATCAGTGAAAATTTCGCTATTCCATAGAGAAGACGCGGATACGAGTGCACGCGCGGAAGATCCATGATTTCCTCGATAAGCAGGAGTTATCTTCCGTATGACCTCCATGTACAGCGACATATGAGAATCTCCGATCGGCAGTCTGAGAAGGCCTATGGAATTCAGACGGTCGCAAACATCTGCGAAATTCCTGTATGGAGGGCTAACTCCCATGAGAGCTACCTGGAGGCCGGCACTCTTGATCTGGAAGACCTCCAACATCGAGCAGCTCCGACAACGTCGCTACGGTCCAGGATATCATCTTCACCGCAGTCGCCAAGGCGCGGGTTGATGGTATGGACCGGAAGTACCTGGAATGGAAAGACCGATATTTCTTCGTGGACCCCGGACTGAAAGTGAACGCTGACGGTTACATCGACCAACTCGAGGAGAATATCCTGCCTTCATGTCGTCGCCTGTACCTTCTTGGAAACTTCGTACTGCTACAGGATTGGGTGCCACCACATGGAATCGAAGGGCGTTGGAAAAACTCTCGCCTACTTGGAATGGAAGGGCGTTGAGTACCTGAAGAAGACGGAATATCCAAGTGTGTCACCTGACCTAAACCCCTCGATTACCGGGTCCGAGCGGAGCTCAACAGGGTGGTCTACAGTGGCGGAGAAATCAACGACCTCGCTGAACTCAGGCACCGAATCACTTTCGCGTGGCAGAATCTCTCGATGGCGTTCGTCCAGAAGGCTGTGTATCATCATAGTGTACAATGTGTTGTTGAATCCAAATTCAGTGGTGGAAATGTCCAATCAGAATTCAACAAAGTGTAACTTATATCGCCTTGAACACAGGAAAAAAGTCCTTTTTGGGGCCGCTTGTACATGTTTGAAAACACACTCAAGTTGACAGCCTTTACGAAAACCGTCACCTTCCCACAGAAACGCCCTCTTCTCCAAAAGTGCCCGTCAGCGAAGAGAAACAACTGTTGGCTGTCTCTGCCCATACGACCAATAAGGACAGTGCATTGAGGAGTAATGCTTTGTAACATACAGAAAATTCCTACACAGTCTACTTGGAGAGGAAAGAAATTCTAAAAAATGAGGAACAAACGGCGTTAGCATACTTATTGAGAGCTGGCGGCGCTGTTCTGTTTGAGTGGCGCGGGCGGGGGTGTTGTTCATTCTCTAATTCGATGGTTTCTACTGGTTCTCGCTAGCTTACACGTCATTTGAAACCTGTAGACTCTCTTCAAGTATGAATAAAGCTCGTGTTACTGCCTAAAACCACCCACATTTTCCTGCTTGTTTTCGCTCTCTATGGCTCAATTTGCAAAACGGCACTCTATCCTCTTTGGCGGCACCAATAAAAAGAGAATGAGAGAGGCCTGACCTCCACGCTACTGGACCCCTCCTTCCAAACCACGTTAGTTTCTAAAAAGCTCATAAACGCACATCTCTTGTTCCTCGTAGAGTTTCCAGATCCTCCTTGGCCTGTTCGATATCACCTCTAATACAAAGGGTGAATCGAGGAGATTCGGGTATCATTGGCAATGTAATAACTTGTACAATAGCTGGTATCGCGATAAAGCCGAAAATAATCGGCCATTTTTCCGGTGTACCAAAGAGCAGCGGATGGCCCATGATCTGCAATTGTGCTAAAGATGTTGGGAGCAGGTTAGGAGCTCCGAGCTGCGGCAACACTTAGATTTTGGGTTGACGCGAGATCCCTCGTCAAAGCAACTAGGTTCTGATATGGATCCGCGCATCAGACGGTCCTCTTGCTGCGCCGTCGCAACTCGGATCTCCTGACCGGCAGTCAAACACCTTTTATCTTGTGAAAACGGCAATTCGACAGTATACCTGCGAAAAAAGAATTGAAGCACAGATAAGAAGCTGATGAAACGAGCCGATGAGCCCGCGATGATTAGTTGGCGCAATTTCTATCTGGTACATAGGAACAACTACCGAAATACCTGGGAAACATAAAGTTTTAGTTGAAGACACATTCCACCACCAGCGAATGGGCGGAGAAGTAAGCGGGCAATCATTGCCATCGCACTTCCTTCATTGGTTCACTTCACTTTTCAATACAAAAAGGAGGCGTCGCGAGATCAGTGAGGAAACTGCATATGGTCCATGAATCTCCCCTAGTTCTCCGCTCCAGTTATCGCGAAAAATATCATTGTAGGCAGAATCCGTCAACGAAAAGCTGTCATACCTACGTAGACTCCAATAAAAAAGCGTCCAACATGCATCATCAGGTAGATTCCGGCGTATTTCGCTGTTCCCATAAAAGCAGCAGCAAGAAATGCAATAATATTCGTATAGAGCAAGCATCCTCTTCTGCCCGCTGCATCAGCCAGCACTCCTGATGACAGCCCACCAACTGCTCCACCCACTCCAAATAGGGCAACGATTGATTGGCTGAATTAAAAAGATTTCCTCAATATTACCAGTTCACAGGCTAGCTTAGGGGAGACCTTGTAGACTCCTGTAAGCTCCTAGAAAGTTATCACATGTGAAAGCAGCCAAAACGGGTCGACCAGCGTCCCCCGCTACTGCTTGAGAGTATGGGGGCTTTCTATTTCCTCCCGCAACACTAGCGATTGGCCTGATTAATATTACCAGATAGTTGGCGCCAAAGCCGACCTTCTATTCTTGCCGTGTACCTCTGGTCAAGCAGTAGCGGCTGGCGGCAGTCGATACCGCCTAGGGCCGCGTTCTCGTCTTTAATGTTAGAGCGCTGCCGCGGTAGTAGCGCGTTACAGCGCGTCGACGCGCTGCAAATTCTGAACGTCGCCTTATGCGACAAAATAGTGCCACTCACAATGTCAGATCTGCATCTTTTCTATCAAGATCCTCATTGTACATATATTTATGTGAGGATATGATCCACTCAGTTATCATCTGGAATTGCTCCAAACTATCGCTCACTTTAAGCAGTCTCAATAGCACAAACCAATCTTCGGAAGTGATATGACCATACTTCGCAATATGCCCCTCGCACCCGCAGAACGGGACGAGCACGCCCACATTAGACTTTCACCAAACGGAAATTACCTTGTTTTCGCAAAGTATTGCAAGAACAGCTAGCTATTTTTAATGGCCGTACAATGGGGTCTGTATTGCACAAAAACATTTCGAAGTTACGCTGCACGCTCACGCTCACGTTCGAGGCACTTTGCCCTTGCTATCTACGAGGTCGATCCGCAGCTGTAGAAATGTGTCACTTTATTCACTAAATGCTTTGAAGCAGGATCATAGTAATAGCCACAGTAACAGCTGTTTCAGACTCCGCCCAGCGGCAAAGACGTGCCCCTTGGCCAGGCATACGCCTAACTATAGCCGAGCGCGCCGTTCCTTTTTGACGGATCTTTTCGCTCTATCTTCGTGATCATCCTTGAGCCCAGCTCCCCGGTGCTTGCTAAGTTGGATATTCCTTTAAAATATTCAAACAACCTGAAAGCATTTGTCCCGCAGGTGAGTGGAAACGAACCTTCCCAGGAGCGTTAATACACCCAATACTGTAACCAAACTGAAACGATGCCATTGACGAGCATATCGTTGCGAACATTAGCGAACTTGTCAAGGTACTCTGAAATGATGGATAATCGGATTAACGCTGTTAAATTGTTCGAGTCTGGACACTATGCGCCTCGGGAGGGGCCAGTCTGCAATTCTACGTCAGCGCGTAGTGGCCTGCGCAAGGGCTAATGCCGTTTGGACTCCAGAAATTTCGGCTCCGAGCTCATTTTCAAAGTCACCAAATCCACTAAAAACTTGTATATAGGGGTAATTCAACATCCTGATTACGAGTATGACACTCATTCTTGGCG